GTTTGCCTATAACTCACATTGGCTTATAGGTAAACTAAAGACATGCTTACCCTAGGTTGTCAGATGATCTAGATAATGTCAAATGGTTTTGCAAATGAAGTGCATATAGTTGTCTAATAACTCAAGAATCTTTCAGTGGTCAAAATATTGCGTTAGTTGTTATGATGTGGCTGTCATAGATCATCTAAGTATTTGTTAACATAACTAAATAGAGATGTTTGGGGTTAGGAAAACTACTAGACAGGACTTCCTGTGGTAAATAAAGGAACAGATGCCTAGAAAAATTTTATTCCATCCTTTACTCCTGAAGGGACCCCAATAATCACCATACCTTTGTGCTAAATACACTGCTAAACTTATTTTTATATGTATACATTGGTCATGGTCAAGTGACTAAGTTTTATGTGGAGAAACAATACAGTTTTAATTAAAATGCTCATGGTGCAAAATAAAATGAAGGGACAAAGGCTTTCATTAACTGATACTCTTTGTTTTATCATGGTGTACTGAATATCATTCATGCCTTCTGAATGTACAGGTCTCCCAAAATACTGTTTATGGTAATGTTCTTTATTTTTGACTCAGGTACCTGGCTCCTTGTACTTTGGCTACTTGTAGTAAGATGTACATATCAAGCTACCTTGATATAAAGAATCAAATAATAGTTGGATTTGGACTTAGTTGCTTAAAAATGTTGTAAAATGGGTGTCCTTTGAAATCATTTCAAATAAACACAGTTCTGGTTTTTATCTCTCCCTTATAAAATGCCAAATAGTGGCTCCTTTCCAGGATAGTCATTGCCCTTAGGGCAGCTGCCACTCTCAAAGCAGAGGACAGGTTTTTCCAGTGGTCCTCTGGTAAATCCCCACTCCCACTGAAGCCCATGGGAGGAGGAATATTGACCAGAAAGGTAACTGCATTCCTTTCAGGGACACAGTTGTGATTACACAGAAGTAGTGGAAACTGAGGTGATAAACGAGGTGCATGGTTATTGCTGCTTGCTGGCAGATACTCAGAGATCCCTTGGAAGAAACTAGTACAGACAGCCCATCCAGGTAATCACAACCATACCCACAGCTGTTAAAGTTTCAGAGATCCAGCCATGGATTCATTGCTCTCTAATCAGGAACGCCCATCATGAGGACTCCGGGGAGGCACACACCAATAACACAAATCCCTTAAAGATCACCCGTAGGAGACAAGGTCCTACTCCTGTCACTCTGGATGCTGACACGACAATGCACTGCTGAAGACTGAGGACATAGATTGACCCAGGATCCAAGGCCACGCTTTCCAGACTTGGTCTTTTCCTGACATCTTAGTCTTGCCTACCTCATAGTGACTGCCTTTATTCTTGGCATAGGCTTCATACCTGTTATTCCAGAGCACTGGAATACTTTCCAAAGATGTTACCTCTTCGCCATATGTTGGGGACTTACGCTGGTTTTTGCTGTCCTACCTTGTGTAGATTGACTCAGGAGAACCCTGGCAACTGTTAAAGTGTCCTAGGTGACCGCAGACATGGATAGGTGCTTTATTAGGACCTCTCTTTGGTGTCCTCATGTTATTTACAGTCAGCCCAAGCTTTATAAATTGTTTCATACGCTTTATTTTTGTGTGCTGTAACTCCATTCAGGTGCAGGAAGCCTACCACCTGATGGTAAATTCAAGGCCCAGTCCTTGCACTTACACATGTGAAAAACAGACAGGAAAACAAGTTGAAGATTCAGTTGTAATTAAAAAAAAAAAGAGCAATGAGTGGACAGGGAAATGATTTCTAACCAGAAGAAGCCTGTGCTGCAGCTAACTGCGTAGCAAACAAAAGTCTCCTAGATCCAACCACTCCTACACCTGAAACATGTGCAGGTCTCACTCAGACTTGCCTGGACGTGTTTCCCTCTTTTTCCCTTTGTCCTCAGCAGAGTCTCTGTGGACCCTGCTTCCTGTCATATTCAAATAAGGTGAACCTTAGTGTACCTTTCTATGCAATTGTAACAGTGAATGTATTTACCCCAGTGAATGAACTAATGTTAGGTGTCTTTCCACTGTGTCCTCACCCCTCTTTTCACAAAGCTATGCAAGCCCTGTTCACATCCAGATGGGACAGATCTCTTTGGGGAGAAGTCCCTCATCAGTCTGCTAGTGAAAACTGCCTCCAACTTCTGCGCTGTGTGTTCCATTCTTCTCCACCTGACTCTGTTATACCTTGTAAATCTACATCACCATGAGTTATATATGCTGCAATACTTCTATACTTTCCCTGCCTACAGACCTGCAACCCTACAAGAGAGTTTGTGAAGAAAAGGTATAAAAAAGAGAAGGTAAGGGAATATAACCGGGAAGTGAGAAAAGTATAGGGAGTTTGAACCCAGTGAATAAACTTCCAGATATGTGTATGTGATAGAATGACAGAAAACCACATGAAAAAAGCCTAGGCATGAGAGAACCTAACAATTCTTTCCTGTGCATAAGTTTTATTTAAAAAGCATAATAAGTTAGGCAGACAAGAAAATTAAATTAATTTTAAAGAACACTACAAGTCTGGAGACATCAGGAGAAAGGCAAAGAAGCTGTAACTGAACTCCCTGTGAGGTCACAGAAAGATTTTTTCTCCACAGGGCTGACAGGAGCACACCTGACAGCTACTGCTGCTCACTGATTACATTCACACTATTTCCAGTTCCAGCCCTGTGCATTGAGTCATAATCTTGTTAAGTACAGAATACATGTTAATCTTACGGGTCTTGAATACACAGAGATTATTAGATCTTCAAATTTAAAATGAGCAGAAGTTATACAATAAATGATAAAAATTATGTTAAATATCAGCATGTATTCATAACCAATGATCTAGAAAACAGGCACAAAACTTTCAACCATGGATACAAGATCTCTCTTTTCTTTAATAATTATTATTTTCCAATTTATCTTCAATATTAACATATATCACTTTCTTGTAACTTATTTGATGAGAGAAGAGCCCTAACAGCGTATCAAACTGTAAAGATTTCTTAAATTTTTAATTGTAATCACAAAGAAAGACAACCAGGAGTATCTAGAATTATAGATTCTTGAAAAGCCAGATCCCGAAGTTAAAAAAAAAAAAGATTGCAAGTAATATTAATGTAATAAAAGGCATAATTTTTTCATTGATTTGAAACTATGAATAATGTAATATTCCACATTAAACCATTTGGATAAAATAACTAACAATCTTAAATTATTAATTCATTAATAAATCTTAATTTTAAAAATAGAAATGTTGCACTTTACACACCTAAAAAAGGTGAAATACCTCTTTTTTAAATGAAATAATTTCAATTTCAAAAGGTAGTTATTTTTATAATCACATGTTTGGAGTAAAGCAGTGTAATAAGTTTTAAACAATTTCTAATGAAATAGCTTACTCGGGAAATGGAACTGCACATTATAAGATAATCTGAAGATATCAAACAAATATTAAACTGACACTAAAATGGAGATAAAAATATGTTTTAGCACACGTAGATTTTTCTCTCTCTTCTTGATCTCAGCTTATGGTCTGCCACATATTGTAAATGCATCAACCATTCTTTCCTTTTCCACAGGTTTATTTTAATAGTATAACATATGAGGCAAATGTGATCATCATTAATTTATTTTGAAAGAACACTATAAACCTGAAGACATCAGGAGAAAGGCAAAGAAGCCAGGGACTGAAGATCCTCGTAATGTCACAGAACAATTTGGTCTCCACGTGGCTCACAGAAACACACCTAATAGCTACTATGGGCCACTGGTTCAAAAAATTGATAAATTCAGTACATTTCTTGTTCAAAGCACTACACAATGAGAGGTTTAATTTTCCTCATACACTAAGTACATGGTAATAGTATGTGTTATAATTATACAGAGCTTATTAGATAATAAACCTTAAAGTGAACAAAGAAAGTGTCAAAGAATATACAAGAAGTGACAGACATTGTGTTAAATATATGTAGACGTATGTTAATAACAGCTAACTTAGAAAAACATGCACAAAACAGGCAGCATTGGGTATGTAGTTCCCTTTTATATATATTTATCATTTTTTAAATTTTCTTCAGCTTTAAGGTATATTACTTCCCTAAAACATAATTGTACTAAATATATATTATCTAATCCTAAAGTGGAAACTACTGCTCTTTTTTTTTTTTTTTAGCTATGTGTTAGTTTGTAAACTAAATGGGATAAAAGAGGCTTGTAGGGTTGAGGATTTAGCTTAGTGACATTGCACCTGTCTCACAAGCTCAAGATCCTGAGTTCAACCTCTGATAAAAGGGGGAAAAAAGGAAACTTGTAAAGCATAAAGCAATATTGTTCAGAAATATGTAGTTATTATTGTGGCAAAATATCATAGGAATGCAAGTCTTCTAGCAATAATGGCCAGGAATTATTTCATTGTGCTCAAAGTTTTATGTCCATCCTCTGATGAGAGACACATGAATTGTTATATATCATGCGGGGAACATAGACTCATAGACATATAGAACTTTATTACTTTATTGAATTAGTGTCTGTCAAATGCTACAGAAGCACCAGATGTAGAATCTGAATGCACTAACTTTGACTTAAAAGGAATTTTCCCAATCATTGCTGCTGAAAATAACTATAAAGAGAATAGCATATAAAAATGAATTGTTTCTTCATTGTAAAAGCATTTTTAAATTGAGATTGGAGGAAATATTACATTGATATAGTTATTCAATTTTTTCACTTATTGCATAAAAGTGCACCTTAATAAAACAGATTCCTTCACCTTATATTAAACACTCTATTGATGACTCCAGATTATAATGTGAACTTGTAAGTACCTGTGTCTCACAATATCCAAGACCAAGTTTGTGAAGTAAAGAGCAGCTGGAAAGGGGAAAAAAAATGATTAAATTTTTTTTTAGAATGAGATCAAACAATTTCTGAGAAGAAAAAAAAAAGACAAAGGGAAAAGTGTAAATGCCTAGCATCACTGTTATTTTAATTGTCTAGAAGCCTCTTCTGTTCTGCAGGACTCTCAGGGCTGCCTTCTTCACCTCTTTGTTTCTGAGACTGTAGATGAGAGGGTTCAGCATGGGGATCACAATTGTATAAAATACAGAAGCCACCTGATCCCTTCCCAAGGAGTGGGACGTCTTCGGTTTTAGGTAAGAAAAAATCATACTGCTATAGAAGATGGTGACTCCCAGGAGGTGAGAGGCACAGGTGGAGAAGGCTTTTTTCTTTCCAGCAGTGGAATTAATTTTCAGAATAGTGGAGAGGATGGACAGATAGGATCCAGATATGATAATGAGGGAAAGAATTAAATTAGATCCAGCACAAATCAGTATAAAGAGTTCAACCTCAGAAGTGTCACTGCAGGACAGGGCTAAAAATGGGGATGTGTCACAGAAGAAGTGCTGGATGACGTTAGACTTGCAGAAGTCCAGTCTGCTCATGAGAACTACAACCACAGTGGAATCAAAAAAACCAATAACATAGGAGCCAGCAAGCAGAGCACAGCACAGTCTTGTGGACATAATGACTGGATAGTGCAGGGGGTTGCAGATAGCTACATAGCGATCATAGGCCATGGAGGAGAGAAGGTAACATTCTGTCGCAACAGATACAATAAAAAAGTACATCTGGGTAAAGCATCCAAGGAAGGAGATGCTCTTGGTGTAAGTCAGTAAGTTCTGTAAGGTTTTAGGGGTGATGACACTTGAGTAGCTGAGGTCGAGAAATGACAGGTGAGTGAGGAAAAAGTACATGGGGGTGTGCAGCTGGGGATCCAGGTGAATAATCAGTATCATCCCTGCGTTCCCCAGCAACGTGATCAGGTAAATCAAGAGGAAGAGCATTGATAGAATCAGCTTTGCCACAGCAGAATCTGTCAGCCCCATAAGGATGAAGCCAGGCACGTTGGTCACATTCCATCTACCCATGGTGTCCTGCTGCTTTTATCTGGTGAATAATAAATTTTTAAATTTACTTTGTCTCTAAAAATACTTTTCTTTATGTGAATGGCTCAGAATTTTCCATAGTACTCCTAGAAAATAATGAAGACCACTGTGAAGAAGAGTGAAAAATAGAATTGGCATATGTAGACATGGCTAGAATACCACTTATGCTGATACATCACAGGGTTACATCCTGCTTTTAGAATGAAACCGATGCTATTTTAAACTCTTTCCATTATTGCCACTTACAACTGTTAGGAAGGTATGATAGTGTAACGACTCTTATCCACATGCTTAACTTTACAAACAGGGTACAGAGATGACTTATGTAAAAAAGAGCAGTTCCATTTTGCCACTGATTCAATGTAGATATTCTGACTTCAGAGGACAGACTCACAATGCTGTGGCCCTGATCCGAACTCGTTTTACTAGTCCTGAAGGAGGCTATCTAATTGACCATGCAAAAATCCATCTTAGTGTATTATTCACTGTCCTTTCTGTCCCGATGACTTATACTAATTAAAGTAATGTCTGTCTGGGGATTCAGGTGACTCACATTTATATTAAATTCCTGAAAGCATAGCAACTGAGAGGAAAAAAAATTAATCTTGAGAACTTTTGGATTTTTAAAAATAAGCTTCTTCTTCAGCTTTTCCCAGCCAACAGAGGAAATCTCTTCCTGTCCTGACTCAGATGACTGCACGAAGGATTAATGCTCAGTCTCAGAAAAATCATGAGGGCCTGAGAAGAATATTTAGACACAGCCCAGAGAGTCAAGGTTGCTTTAACTTGGAACAGGGAGGCTGGAAGCTTGGAGTCGCAGGGACATGAAAGCCCTGTCCAAAGGGAGAAAGATTTGTGAGGAGAAGGCTCCTATCTCTACTGCAGCTTCAATGCTCCCTTTCCTTTCCACCAAAATAACTTTTCCCCACCTTTGTTGAGGCAGCCAGAGTCAGTAGGGATCTGCAAATCTAGTAACCATGTATTTTTTAACTTGCCCATTATAAATTAATATTCTTTGAAACATTGTATTTTCAAAATAGGTACATTGCCTGTATACTTTGATTTCACCAACTCTGTACTCCTTTTTCTGCAAATCTTAGCATAACTTATGATGAGGCCCAAATGATGTGTGTACATATTTTTTGATAAAATTCCCTTATGTTATCTATTCTAATCCTCTCCTTTTTCTCAGAAGGATACTTACTGTGCACCTGTATTGCCTTAAAAAAAACTGTCTTCCAATGTTGTCATCTTAGAAATTTGTCAAGCAAAAAGTATTTTCAGAGCTAAAATGTGAAGCCGTGTAGTGAGGTGTATCACCCAAGAAATTTTGTTCAAGTTGAACAAACTGAAACAACACCACGAGCTTTCCTCTGAGAAGAGTCTGAGGAGGAGCTGTGAACGGAGACAGAGCAGTGTGTGCCTCTCCTCCCAGTCAGCCTCATATACAGTGCATTCAGGACACTGCAGCCTTTGCTGATCCTCGGGGAGCAATTTCCAGGGAAGATTCCTCGTTCCTATTCCAAGGAGAAAAGTTCAAGGATTTAATGAGCACTACATTTTGTCTTTTTCTTGAAAGTCCCAAATTTAGAAAACTTACTGTACTCATGTGATGATCTAAGATTCTGCTGAAATTAATTTACTCCCTTTTTAACTAGACCCATAATTATGTATATTTTCCAGGAATAATATTTACATTTGAGTGATAAATGAGAATTTTTTGACTATGAAGTTAGAGAACAAATTTTCTGAATCATGTTTCCTTTACAATTGACACAAAAAAGGATGGAAAAATAAATTTTTTACCTGGAAATTTTTATATATAAATAAATGACTTGGCCATAGACTTAATGCTTATTCTGGAGGGAAGAGTTAAGGGGAAAAAACGAGAATCAAGACTAGTCATGTAGAGGTACAAGATCCAAACAATGAATGTAACTGTACTGTATCCCTAAAATGTACCAATAAACTCAACTAAAGCTGAAAAAAAAAAGTAAAAGAAAACCTAAAGGAATTCTTGACTTCTTTCATACGTAAAGCAGAAATATTTTATGAAGGATTAGTTGAGTTTTGGGTTAGGGTATTGTTGCACAACTTTCTCTTATGGTTGAATCCTTACCACTGCTTTACGAAGACAAAATAATCATCAGTGATGTCACTGGCTGAAGAACAAATAATTCACCAATAAGCAATTTAAAATATTTATGAGGAATACTCCAACAATTTTGTTAATTTAGGCTTAGAAAGGAGGAGAGAGGAATTAGATGGCATAGGTTAAGGGGAAAGGCATTAATGTGAACATTTACAGAAAAAAAAGAAAAGAAGGGAGGGGATACTTAAGAGATTTGAATGCAGGAGGAAAAAGTAAAAACAAAGAATGTAGTATAAACGAAAAGGTAGAAACATAGGACAGAGTGGATTCAATGAAAAATTATCAGATACATGTGCTAGAATGTTAGCCTGTGAAACAATCCTGGCTTTCATCACAAAACATCACAGCCCATTCAGAGGGCCTTGGGAAATGCCCCAAAATGAGAAACCAGACTGCCCATTCCCCTTGCTCAGCAATACCTCACGTCTGGCCAGGGATTTAGCTCTGTGGTTCTGCCACCTGCCTCACAAGCACGAGGTCCTGAGTTCAATCCCAGGTAAAAACAAAAAACAAACAAACAAACAAACAAAACCGAGCAAACACAAAAAAAAACCCTCATCTCTCTGCAGGCTATACAGGGGATAGAGCTTCACATTAACAGGTTGCTGGACTTCTGGATATTAACTCCCTGCTAGTCACCAAGGAACACCGATTCCTGATAGTACAAAAACTGGGGAGCGTGGATTCCAGGCTGGTCCAGGACTTGAGAGAAGTTAACTAGTGAGTGGAAAATTTCCATCCTACTGCCCCCAACCAATAAACCCTCTTGAGTTTGCCATCTCCTGAGCACCAAGTGTATACTCTGCTAGATTTCAAGGACGCTTTCTTCAGTGTGCCCCTTGCCCAAGCTATCCAGCCTACCTTCTTGGAGTGGACCGACTCAGTGTCCAGCAGCTCCTGTCAGCTCACCTGGAGCCTGGTGCCTGGAGGATACAAAAATGCACCCACCCTATTGGTCAGGCTCTCCAGAAGGCCTGGTGAGTTTTTGATACCACCACCCTAACCTCACCCTGCTTTAACATGAGGAAGGTTTGTTATTAGCTGCTATTAGCTGTTCAGAATGCCTGCAGGGAACTCGAGAGCTTCTTCAGCTAGGGGAGTTGGGCTACTGAGTCTCGGTCAAGAAGGCCCAAATCTGTCCCGATAAAATATTGTACCTGGGGTATGAAACATCAAAAGGAAGATGAGCATTTTCCAAGACCAGGAAAAGGCATCCCCCAGACACCCACAGTAACTACCAAGAAACAGGTATGGGAATTCCTTGGTGCAGCGGGATACTATCGCTGGTGAATTCCTGGGATTGCTGAGATGGAGCAGCCCCTCCATTCTGCCATGGGAGGAAATCAACCCCTGAAGTAGGGAATGCATGAAGGAAAAGCCTTCTAGAATCTGAAAAGAGCTCTGGTATCAGCCCAGGCTCTGGCACTGCCCGCTGTTACTCAGTCTTTTCATCTAATCCTCCATGAGTTAAGAGGGATTGCTGAGGAAGTACTAAACCAGTCCTAGGGATGTGGTAAGTACCCTGTGGTTTATCTCTCTGAAAGATTAGGTCCTTTGGCATCAGCTTGACCTTCATGACTTTGGGTGGTAGCTGGGATGGCTTTATTGGGAAAGGAGGCTGATGAATTGACCCTTAGACAGGACCTAGTCCTAACTGCCCCTCATTCAGTTGATCCTCTTTTGGAGGGGCTACTTACAAATGGATGTCAAATACCCACCTCAATCAGTAGGGCAAGACCTCTTACTCGACAGATCAGCTGCGCATAGCCTTCTCAGCAGATGGTTACTCAGCTTGACTACACCGATGATGATCCTGACATCCCAATTCATGACTGAGAGGAGGCGCTGGACCAGACCCAATGGTTGGATCACAGACACCCCATTGTGCGAGGCAGATGCCTCCTCTTCACAGATGCAGGCAGCATGGTGGTAAAGGGGGTACAGTCAGGAGTGGCTGCAGTGACTACAGTTTATCAAGACATTTGGGCCCAGCTTCTTCCCAAGGAGACCTGAGCTCCAAAACCAGAACTGATTGCCTTGGCCCAGGCCTTGAGATGGGGAAAAGGAAAAGATAAATGTGTGCAGTGACAATTGGTATGTATTTGCTACTCTATAGGTCAATGTGAGAATCTATAGGAGAGGACTTCTGAGAAAAAATCCAAGGACAAACACTGGGTTTGAGGCCCAGGACCCATGTTCTAAGGGAAAATGAGCAAAGGATTTTCCCTGTTTCTTAGGGAGTTCCACAGGAGAGCAGAAACACGTTCTCTCATGGTGCTCTGAACTGTAGCTCAACTTTATTTACTTTCTGTTACATAATTATTTAAATTTGGGACGTAGTGTGTGTACACTCATTAGTGGTCTTAAGATGTAGTTTTGTTTAATTTTCTTTTGTTGTATTTTGTTGTTGTTGTTGCTCTTTTTTTTTTTTTTTTTTTTTTTTTTTTTTTTTTTTTTCCTTTGGTACCGGGAATTTAACTTCAGGGACTTGCGCTTGTGAGGCAGGTCACCGAACCACTGAGCTAAATCCTTGGCCCTGTTGTTGTTGCTCTTATTGTTGACTATGTGATTGTAGCTTAAATTTCCAGGAACATGTTTATGACGGACATTATCACTGATGGAATGATAACATTTTCAGCAGGAAATACATTGTAATTAAAAGCATGATTCATTAGGGGAGTATAGCATTCAGGGTGAGTGGCTAGCTTAATGGAAAACTCAGTACCAAAAAAGAATTAGAAGAAAGAAGTTAAAAAAGGAATATGTTTTATTCCTGTGAAGGAATTTTGAAAAAGCAGACAGAGAAAACCTGCCCTAGAGAGGAGTGGGGGTCAAGAAAAAGATGGACAGGTGCAGGCCTCTTCCCCGGGCCTCTTATTCAATGTTAGGTACCCTCCCTCTAGGGCCATGGCACCTGGACAGGTCACAGTTTATTTCCTAGCCTGTCTCTGGCTGAATCTCAGGTCCCAGGATCCTAAGCCTGGCACCCTTGCCCACCTTCATGCTCCTGTTGGGAGGCTTTACTCTAGAATTCCACGGTGGGACATGGCCTCATAGGAGGAGCAACACGGAAGTCACGGTGTCTTTCCCTGTGTCTCCTGCTCAGCCTCTGTCCAGGTGGGAGAGACCATTTCCTGCTGCCTGGAGCTGAGCTCCACACTCCATGGTGACCTCTGTCTTCTACCAAGTTTGCCCTTGGGGAGCCTGGACCATAGCCGCCCTCATCCTCTCTGCTCTTGGATCCAGGGTGAGGGGAAAAAGTGGGGTCTGCATAATCTGTGTGCAGGACCTGATCGTGGCCCCAGGGCCTCAATTCCCAGGCCTGGCTGCTGGCTGCTTGGATGCCCAGTGTCTGCACCCCGCCCTGGTTACTCTGAAGACCTTGCACAGACCAGTAGCCCACTGGATCATATTATGCTCATGTAGTAACACCATAGATGCATTCCTCCCTGGGTAATAAATTGATTTAGCTTTAATTTAATTATCATTAAAGAATTTTGAACTTAAATGTTTTCTACAAAGTCTTACATTGCATTAACAAAAAGCAATATAATCAAAACTGATACAATGAGTTTTCTAAATCACAAAAATTCCCATACACGGAGATAAGGTAGATCTAATCCTTTAAAAAAAACTGGAAGGGGGAAAGAATCTGTGAATATATGAAATTATTAAGGTATTTGTGTAATACAAGGCCCCAAACAATATATGAAACAGAAATATATATTAAACTCTTATTTGTGATAAAAAAGAAATGCAATCTGGAATAACTATAAATATAGATTTTAGAAAATATATAAGGAAAAAAACTAACAGTCTCATGTAATATTGATATAACAAAGGCATAATTTTGATTTGACATTTTGAGTAATATAGTATATTTTTAAATATGTGGGTAAATTTATTAACAGTTTTAAATTATTAAAACACTGATGAAACTTCATCCTTAAAATAGACATGTTTCACTTTAGGCACCTAACATGATGAAATTTTTTACATGATACTAACTGAAAATTCTAAATGTAGATATTTTTATAATCCCCTATATGGAGTAAAATAATCATTATAATATTTTTAAAGAAGTTTCAGTGAAATAACTCACTTGGAAAAGGGAGCTGTCTATAATAAAATAACCTTAAAATATCAAAGAGAAATTTTAAAATGACAAGAATAGAGATAAAATATTTTTTAAATAAAGAGTGTTTTTTATTCTTCTTGATCCACACTTATTCACTGCCAAATATTGTAAATTAATTGTCAATTCTTTCCTTTGCAAATGTTTTACTTAAAAACTATAATAAATGAGGTAAACAAAAAAATTATTTTAAAGAATACTACAAAACTGAAGACGTCAGGAGAAAGGCGAAGAAGCTGTGGCTGAAACCCCTGTCGGGTCACGGAAAGGTTTGCTCTCCACGGGGCTCACAGGCGCTCACCTGACAGCTACCGCTGCTCACTGATTACGTTCACACCATTTCCGGTTCCAGCACTGTGCAATGAGTCGTAATCTTGCTCATGTACAGAATAGATGTTAATCTTACGGGTCTTAAATACACAGAGATTATTAAATCTTCAAATTTAAAATGAGCAGAAGTTATACAATAAATGATAAAAATTATGTTAAATATCAGCATGTATTCATAATCAATGATCTAGAAAACAGGCACAAAACTTTCAACCATGGATACAAGATCTCTCTTTTCTTTAATGATTATCATTTTCCAAATTATCTTCAATATTATGATATATGACTTTATTGTAACTTATTTGATGAGAGAAGAACCCTAGCAGCATATCAAACTGTAAAGATTTCTTAAATTTTTAATTCTAATCACAAAGAAAGACAACCAGGAGTATCTAGAATTATAGATTCTTGAAAATCCAGATCCTGGAGTTAAAAAAGAAAGATTGCAAGGAATATTGATGTAATACAAGGCATAATTTTTCCATTCATTGATAAATCTTAATTTCTAAAATAGAAATGTTGCACTTTACACACCTAAAATGATGAAATACCTTTTTTTAAATGAAATTATTTCAAATTCAAAAGGTAGTTATTTTTATAATCACATGTTTGGAGTAAAGCAGTGTAATAAGTTTTAAAGAATTTCAAATGAAATAGCTTACTCAGGAAATGGAACTGTACATTATAAGATGATTTTAAGATATCAAACAAATATTAAACTGACACCAAAATGCAGATATAAAATACGTTTAGCATAAGTGGATTTTTATCTCCTTGATCAAAGCTTATGGTCTGCCACATTTGTAAATTAGTCATCCATTCTTTCCTTTTCAACAGGTTTATTTTAATAGCATAACATATGAGGCAAATGTGATCATCATTAATATATTTTGAAAGAACACTATAAACCTGAAGACACCAGGAGAAAGGCAAAGAAAACAGGGGCTGAAGATCTTCGTAATGTCACAGGCAAAATATCATAGGAATGCAAGTCTTCTGGCAATAATGGCCGGGAATTATTTCATTGTGCTCAAAGTTTTATGTTCATCCTCTGAGGAGAGAGACATGGAATTGTTATATATCATGCGGGGAACATAGACTCGTAGACATATAGAACTTTATTATTTTATTGAATTAGTGTTTGTCAAATGCTAGAGAAGCACCAGATGTAGACTATGAATGCAGGAAGCTTGACTTAAAAGCAATTTTCCCAATCATTGCTGCTGAAAATCACCATTAACAGAATCGCATATAAAGATGGATTCTTTTTCATTGTAAAAGTATTATAAAATTGAGATTGGAAGAAATATTACATTGATATAGTTATCCAATTTTTTTCACTTATTGCATAAAAGTGTTCCTTAATAAGAAATAGATTTTTTCACCTTAGATTAAACACTTCATTGATGACTCCAAATTATAATATGAACTATAAGTACCTGTGTCTCAAAATATCCAAGACCAAGTTTGTTAGGTAAAGAGCAGCTGGAAAGGGGAAAAAAAGATTAAAAATTTTTAAGAATGAGATCAAACAATTTCTGAGAAGAAAAAAAAAGACAAGGGGAAAGGTGTAAATGCCTAGCATCACGGTTATTTTAATGGTCTGGAAACCTCTCTCTTCTGCAGGACTCTAAGGGCAGCGCTCTTCACCTCTTTGTTTCTGAGACTGTAGATGAGAGGGTTCAGCATGGGGATCACAATCGTGTAAAACACAGAAGCCACCTGATCCCTGCCCAAGGAGTAGGATGTCTTCGGTTTTAGGTAAGAAAAAATCATACTGCTGTAGAAGATGGTGACTCCCAGCAGGTGGGAGGCACAGGTGGAGAAGGCTTTTTTCTTTCCTTCAGTGGAATTAATTTTCTGGAGGGTGGAGAGGATGGACACATACGATACAGATATGGTGATGAGAGAAAGAATTAAATTGGATCCAGCACAAATGAGTATAAAGAGTTCAACCTCAGAAGTATCACTGCAGGACAGGGCTAAAATCGGGGATGTGTCACAGAAAAAGTGCTGGATAACGTTAGAGTTGCAGAAGTCCAGTCTGCTCATGAAAACTGCAACCACAGTGGAATCAAAAAAGCCAATAACATAGGAGACTGCAAGCAGAGCACGGCACAGTCTTGTGGACATAATGACTGGATAGTGCAGGGGATGGCAGATAGCTACATAGCGATCATAGGCCATGGAGCAGAGAAGGAAACATTCGGTAGAAACAAATACAATGAAAAAGTACATCTGTGTGAAGCAGCCTGGTAAGGATATCTTCTTGGTGGAAGTCATCAAGTTCTGTAAGGTTTTAGGGGTGATGACACTTGAGTAGCTGAGGTCGAGAAATGACAGGTGAGTGAGAAAAAAGTACATGGGGGTGTGCAGCTGGGGATCCAGATAGATGATCAATATCATCCCTGCGTTCCCCAGCAATGTGATCAGGTAAATCAGGAGGAAGAGCATGGATAGAATCAGCCTTGCCACAGCAGAATCTGTCAACCCCATAAGGATGAAGCCAGGCACATTGGTCGCATTCCATCTACCCATGGTGTCCTGCTGCTTTTATCTGGTGAATAATAAATTTTTGCAAATACTTTGCCTCTAAAAATACTTTTCTTTATGTGAGTGGCTAAGTATTTTCCATAGTACTCCTAGAAAATAATGAAGACCACTGTGAAGAAGAGTGAAAAATAGAATTGGCATATGTAGACATGGCTAGAATACCACTTATGCTGATACATCACAGGGTTACATCCTGCTTTTAGAATGAAACCGATGCTATTCTAAACTCTTTCCATTATTGCCACTTCCAACTGTTAGGAAGGTATTTTAGTGTAAAGACTCTTATCCACATCCTTAACTTTACAAACAGGGTACAGAGATGACTTATGTAAAAATGAGCAGTTCCATTTTGCCACTGATTCAATGTAGATATTCTGACTTCAGAGGACAGACTCACAATGCTGTGGCCCTGATCCGAACTCGTTTTACTAGTCCTGAAGGAGGCTATCTAATTGACCACGCAAAAATACATCTTAGTGTATTATTCACTGTCCTTTCTGTCCCGATGACTTATACTAATTAAAGTAATGTCTGTCTGGGGATTCCGGTGATTCACATTTATATTAAATTCCTGAAAGCATAGCAACTGAGAGGAAAATAATTAATCTTGAGAACTTTTATATTTTTAAAAATAAGCTTCTTCTTCAGCTTCCCCCAGCCAACAGAGGAAATCTCTTCCTGTCCTGACTCAGATGACTGCACGAAAGATTAATGTTCAGTCTCAGAAAAATCATGAGGGCCTGAGAAGAATATTCAGACACAGCCCAGAGAGTCAAGGTTGCTTTAACTTGGAAAAGAGAGGCTGGAAGCTTGGAGTCACACGGACATAAAAGCCCTGTGAGAAGTTAACACAGGGAGACAGATTTGTGAGGAGAAGGCTCCTATCTCTACTGCGGCTTCAATGCTCCCTTTCCTTTCCACCAAAATAACTTTTCCCCACCTTTGTTGAGGCAGCCAGAGTCAGTATGGAACTGCAAATTTAGTAACCATGTGTTTTATAAGTTGCCCATTAAAAATCAATATTCCTTTTTGTTCTTTTTATTGTTTTTGGTACATTCTACGTACACGGTGCAGTTACATTAATTACTGGAATCTTGTATTTACATGACAGGTCTTGGTTCTCATTTTTTTCCCCTTTCAATATTCTTTAACACATTGCATTTTCAAAATAGGTCCATTACTTGTATACTTTGATTTCACCAACTCTAGCCTCCTTTTTCTGCAAATCTTAACATCACTTATTATGAGGCCCAAATGATGTGTGTACACATTTTTTATATAATGCCCTTATTTTATCTAGCATAATCCCCTCCTTTTTCTCAGAAGGATACTTACTGTGAACCTGTATTGCTTTAGAAAAAGTATCTTCCAATGTTGTCATCTTAGAAATTTGTCAAGCAAAGAGTATTTTCAGAACTAAAATTTGAAGCCGTGTTGTAAGGTTGAAATCATTGTGCTGTATGTGGTTTTCCTGTGGTGATTTATCTTTAAGTTTTCAAAGTTCAATTTTTCATTCTGAGGAAAACTGTATCACCCCAGAAATTTTGATCAAGTTGAACAAATTAAAATAACAGCATGAAGTCTCCTCCGAGAAGAGTCTGAGGAGGAGCTGTGAGTGGAGACAGAGCAGTGTGTGCCTCTCCTCCCAGTCAGCCTCATATACGGGGCATTCAGGACACTGCGGCCTTGGCTCATCCTTGGGGTATAATTTCCAGGGAAGTTTTCTTGGGCCCATGCCAAGAACAAAAGTTTGAGGATTTAATGCGCACTAGATTTTGTCTTTTCCCTTCAAAGTTCCAAATTTAGAACACAAACACTTCCTCTTCCCATGTGATGATTCTGCTGAAATTTTTTTGTTTCCTTTTTCACTTGATGCATAATTATATATATTTGCAAGGAAAAATGTTTATATTTGAGGAATGAATAAGAATGTTTTGACTATGAAGTTAGAGAAAAATTTTCCTGCATCATTCTTCCTTTACAATTGATGATGATAAGGATGGAAAATACAAATTTTTACCTGGAAATGTTTTATAAATAAATAAATGACTTAGCCATAGACATAATTCTTATACTTTATTTTAAAAAGTTATAAAATTATTAAAAGAAAAACTAAAGGAATGCTTGACTTCTTTCAATTTTTAAAGCTGAATTTTTTTTTTTTTTTTTTTTTTTTTGTACCAGAGATTGAACTTGGGTCCTTGCACTTGCAAGGCAGGCCACCGAACCACTGAGCTAAATCCCCAGCCCAAGCTGAAATATTTTATTAAGGGTTGCTTTAGTTTTGGGTTAGGCTCTCCTTGCAGAACTTTGCCTTGTGTTTGAATCCTTACCACTGCTTTACAAAGACAAAATAATCATCAGTAATGTTACTACCTAAAGAACAAATTATTCACCAACATACAATATATAATATTTATGAGAAATACTGCAACAATTTTGTTAATTTAGGCTGAGAAAGGAAGAGGGAGGAATTAGGTGGCATAGCTTAGGCGGAAAGGCCTTAATGTGAACATTTACATTAAAAAAAGAAAAGAAGGAGAGGACACTTAAGACATAAAGCAGGAGGAAGACTAAAGAAAAACAAAGAGGGGAGCATAAATGAAAAGGGAGAAACATAGGGCAGAGTGAATTCAATTAAAAATTATCAGATGCATGTGTGCTAGAATATTAGCCTGTGAAGCAACCCTGGCTTTCATCACAAAACATCGCACCCCATCAGGAGGGCATTGGGAGCTGCCCAAACCTGCCATAACAGAGTGCCATTCCCCTTGCCGGGGTTATATCTCATCAATGCCTCATGTCTGGCCAGGGATAGTTCAGTGGTTCTGGCACCTGCCTCACAAGCACAAGGTCCTGAGTTCAACAACAACAACCAAAAATACCTCATCTCTCAGCAGGCCAGACAGGGCATAGAACTTCACATTAGCAGGTTGCTGGACTTTGGGATATGAACTCCCTGCTAGTCACAAGGAACACCCATTCCTGATAATACAGAAACCGGGGAGCACGGATTCCAGGTTGGTCCAGCACTTGAGAGAAGTTAACTAGTGAGTGGAAAATTTCCATCCTACTGCCCCCAACCAATATACCCTCTTGAGTTTGCCATCTCCTGAGCACCAAGTGTATACTCTGCTCGATATAAAGGATTCTTTTTTCAGTGTGCCCCTTGCCCAAGCTATCCAGCCTACCTTCCTTGAGTGGACCGACTCAGTGTCTAGCGGCTCCTGTCAGCTCACCTGGAGCCTGGTGCCTGGAGGATACAAAAATGCACCCACCCTATTGGTCAGGCTCTCCAGAAGGCCTGGTGAGTTTTTGATACCACCACCCTAACCTCACCCTGCTTTAACATGAGGAAGGTTTGTTATTAGCTGCTATTAGCTGTTCAGAATGCCTGCAGGGGACTCGAGAGCTTCTTCAGCTAGGGGAGTTGGGCTACTGAGTCTCGGTCAAGAAGGCCCAAATCTGTCCCGATAAAACATTGTACCTGGGGTATGAAACATCAAAAGGAAGATGAGCATTTTCCAAGACCAGGAAAAGGGCATCCCCCAGACACCCACAGTAACTACCAAGAAACAGATATGAGAATTCCTTGGTGCAGCTGGATACTGTCGCTGGTGAATTCCTGGGATTGCTGAGATGGAGCGGCCCCTCCATTCTGCCATGGGAGGAAATCAACCCCTGAAGTAGGGAATGCATGAAGGGAAAGCCTTCTAAAATCTGAAAAGAGCTCTGGTATCAGCCCAGGCTCTGGCACTACCCACTGTTACTAAGTCTTTTCATCTAATCCTCCGTGAGTTAAGAGGGATTGCTGAGGAAGTACTAAATCAGTCCAGGGATGCGGTAAGTGCCCTGTGGTTTATCTCTCTGAAAGATTAGATCCTTTGGCTCCAGCTGGACCTTCATGACTTTGGGTGGTAGCTGGGATGGCTTTATTGGGAAAGGAGGCTGATAAATTGACCCTTAGACAGGACCGAGTCCTAACTGCCCCTCATTCAGTTGAGCCTCTTTTGGGGGGGCTACTTACAAATGAATGTCAAATACCCACCTCAATCAGTAGGGCAAGACCTCTTACTCGACAGACCAGCCGCACATAGCCTTCTCAGCAGGACAGTTACTCAGCTTGACTACACCGATGATGATCCTGACATCCTAATTCATGACTGAGAGGAGGTGCTGGACCAGACCCAGTGATGGGATCACACGTAACAGACACCCCATTGTGCGAGGCAGATGCCATCCTCTTCACAGATGCAGGTAGCATGGTGGTAAGGGGGGTACAGTCCCGAGTAACTGCAGTGACTACAGTTTATCAAGTCATTTTGGCCCAGCTTCTTCCCAAGGAGACCTGAGCTCCAAAACCAGAACTGATCGCCTTGGCCCAGGCCTTGACATGGGGAAAGGGAAAGATAAATGTGTACAGTGACAGTTGGTATGCATTTGCTACTCTATAGGTCAATGTGAGAATCTATAGGAGAGGACTTCTGAGAGCCACAGGAGAGCCTGTCAAAACCAAAACAGAGATACTGTTTCTCCTAGAGCTAGTATGGCTTCCCAGAAGGTTGCATTCATTTATGTTCAGGGTCACCAAAAGGACAATACACCTGAGGCTAAGGGAAATCAGCTTGCAGACCACGAATCCCAAGAGGCATTCCTGAGGTCAGCTGAATTCTTAGTCATCCTGCCTACTCTGAGTCCTCCTCCCTCTTTACTCCTGTCTAGCCCCACTTGCATTGAAGGGGAAGATAAAGAAACGAAGCCTACTGCAAGCAAACAAGAATCCTCCAAGTTCATGGAAATGTCCAGATGGTCCCATTTACCTCCCACAAGCAGTAGGATGATAGCTCATCCATCAGCTGCATTCAGTCATACACCAGCGTTCTTCAACATGGCTGAGTTTCTAGCTCCAAGACACTGCTTTTCGAAGATGTAGGAGCTGCCCCACCAGGCCTCCCTTAGGTCCCCAAACTATGTACAAGTAAATCCCCACCAGGGTCTGAGTGGACCTCTCAGAATCACATTCAGAGGTTGGAATCCTAGAGGACACTGGGAGGTGGAATTACCAAATCTCAAATGAACAGCAGGTGGCTATCACTACCTCCTGGTTTTCATAGACACCTTCCCCTGTTGGGAATTGGTCTATGCTACTCATCTTTGCCATTGTGGGGGCCAAGAAAATTCTTCA